TTTTTATTATATATAATTTATTTTATATTATATATTTAAAACAATCATATTGTAAAAATTGTACTATGTTACATTGGATATCTCTTAATGTACAAATAGTAGACTAATGTCGTTAGGATAGTCATTCGGTTAATTTGATTAAGTTTGAATCAAACTTTGGGATGAAGATGCCATATTGATAGCAGCACAAGCAATTCATAGGAATTGATGTGACAAATTAGTAAAATAAGTGATAGTGAACTTATTTGTCACAAAAAAGTTTTAAAATGTGCGATTATAAAATGTATTTTCACAATTACATTTATTTTAAGAGGCACTAAATAGTTGCATTTTAAGTGACCACAATATTTAATACCTAGTTCACACCAAATTACTTGACACCAACTTGAATGCAATTTTAGTTGCAAACATTGATTACAACATAATTTCACATAATATTTATCTATTTAATTATAGGGACAAAGTCATTGTAACAACTAATTACTCGTCACAATTATCGTAAATTAGTGACAAAACTTGAAATCAACATAAATATTGTCACAATTTAGTAATTTTTGTTTCGAAATTATAGAGCGTCACAAATATTTTTAACAATTTCATCACAAAAAAGTGATAATATTAGTGATAATAATATTTTTTCTCACAATTGTTTCTCATTTCTAATGGTACTAACCAATTGTATTTTTATTGACAAAAAAGTTGTCACAAATATTATAAACAAGAGTGACCAACAACTATTTGTCACAAAAACTACAAACATTTGTGTCCACATTATATTTTGTCACAATTACATTCGTTCCTGCCATAATTATAATGCCGCCAAAATGCACATACATTTAGTGACAACAAATAGTGACAACGTATGTTACGACACTATTATTCTAGTAATAGTGACAACTTATTCGTAACAAATATTTTCTTGTCACAATTACCATACTATCCGTGACCAAAAAAAAGTTATCACAATTATCCCACAGAATAGTGTCGACTTATTTTTTTGGTCACAAAAGCGTATTATTGTGACTAAATTATGAAGTGTCACAAAAGATTTGTCACTAAATGTCTTCATTCTTGTAGTGAGGAACTGGTGGTCTACGAGTGGCAACCGAGGCGGCGAAATACGTTGGATGGCTTTGCAGAGAATGTGTAACACCCCACTTTTCTTAAACTTAATTAACAAACTTAACCTTGAAAGGTAAGCCAATGCAACAGAATAAACTTACTAAACAACTTAATTAGAGGTGTCACCGCCACAATCACCCTTCTCGGTGATTACACAGGCTAAGGATAACAACTAAATCATAAAATCTTACTAAACATCAATCAAACTAGGGGATAACCCCGGTGTCCAGCACCATCAAAAGCATAGGGTAGTCATCTACAAGTCTCAAAAGAGTAAATCAACATCAAGAGCTTTAGACTACACAAGCTAACTAATGCTAGTCTAATCTAACTCGTACTCTCTCTCACGAACTGGGCCCACCTGAAAGGGGTTAACAAACAACAAGTAGAAAACAAACTCGTTAGCACGAAGCTAAGTATAACACCACTCAACCCTGTAAAGTACTACAGTATATATTTTTGGAAAACATTTGTTTTGCATACTTAGATCAAGCATTCTCAATCACTTAGCAACACTTTATCATGCTTAACATGGTTTCTATATGCTTGCAACCTAATTAACAAATAGGCATGCTTTCACAATTATCTAGCTTATCTTCAAGCTCATACTTCCACATACTTAACTTATCCATAATCTCAAGTCTATCTAACATCTCGGTAGTAATCTCACGCTAACACATAAGTCAACAAGCAATCTTGTGCTATCACATAATCTCAAATCAAGCTCATGCTATCATATACTCATCATGCAATCTCGTGCAATCATATACTCAATATGCAAGCAATCATATACTCATTATGCAACCTAGTGCAACCATACTCATTATGCAATCTCGTGCAATCATATACTCAACATGCAATCTCGTGCAATCATATACTCAATATGCAATCTACTTGATCATGCAATAAAACGAACATGATGCTTTTAGTATAAGTATAGATAGATATACATATACACTCTTTTATAAAAAGAATACTTTTTCTTGTGGAGGTTTCTTAGAGTCACAATGACTCGCTTTCTTTCCCTTGAGTTTCTTAACTCGATTTCTTTCTCTTGAGTCTCTTGACTCGATTGCTTTCTCTTGAGTCTCTTAACTCGATTGCTTTCTCTTGAATCTCTTGACTTGATTGCTTTCTCTTGAGTCTCTTGACTCGATTGCTTTCTCTTGAGTCTCTTGACTCGATTGCTTTCTCTTTAATCATGGGCAAGGTAGGACTTCACCATAAGGTGGATAACCCTATCTGGGCTCGGCATCTAGCTGGCCTAATACTCATCTCGCCCGTAAGACCACTCTCTTGATCCTTTTCTCAAACTCTGTGGAATCAGGTATTGAACTATCAGTGTGCACACCCCCTGACCAGGATTCCAAGCCTGGCGGATAGTTTCCAACCTCGTAACGTGGGAATACGCCGCGTTACATGATATCGGATCGCAATGTCCGTTTCTTGCTTTACTTTCTTTCTTTTACTATATGTTGGTTCTATCCGATCTTATCTCTTTTCTTCTGAAAGGATAAAGTCCTAACGGGCCTCCAAATACTATTTGTCTCACAATATATAACATATATATCTCATGCAACTTCTTTACTTATGCAAACTTATGCACACATCTTCTCAACAGTTTCTCAATGCAACAAGAAAATGACCTTCTAAAATAGATATGAGTCTTTGAAAAATGATACTTAGCCTCACTTTGGCCATTTATGCATTTTAAAACATGATATGCTCAAATATGCATTTTACTGTAGAATGAACTTCAATTATCTTTTCACTGTGGATTCTCAACCATTCTATAAACATGCTCATAAATCATAATTTAGCAAATCTTCATTGGCAAACACTTAGCAAGTATTCAACATGCTTTTGAACTCAATATGTTCAACATAAACTCATTTACTGTAATCATGCTCTGTAAACTTTAATATTCTTGGCAATAATCTCAACAAGTCAATTAGACATCTAGGCCTGCTTTTCTAGCAAACTTAACAAATATGGATCATATTTCATTATCTAACAATCACATAATTGTCATGCTTCTCAAATAAATAGCAAAGACCAAATACTTAACATTTTCCTTCACTGTAATTACTCTCAGACAATTCTGTAGCATTCTCCTTCACAAATTCTATCACAAAATGCTCATTTCTACTCTAAATTCCATGAAATCAATTTCTAAACGTGCGTCGTAATGGCCCCGAGTGTCCGAGTCTCAAGGGCCCGCCCCGAGTCCCGGTCCGAAACGACACGTAGCTAAGCCATAAGGGCCCGGCCACTGCAGAACTTCTCTTAGCGGGGCTTGTGGCGAGGCTTGAGGAGCCCCACCGCCTGGAACCGGCAAGCGGCGGCTTAGGGCCACAGCTCTTGCCTAGAGCCGTGCCCTAGGGCTGTTCCTCCACAGCCCTAGCCAACGGCTCCTTCCAAGGGTCGTTGTCTAGATCCGTGCCTCATCTGGTCACACTGTGTTGTGCACCAGTGAGTTTCTTTTCACCTGTAATGCAATATCAGGCAAATAAACACTCCCAAACCATCAAAAAAACATCATAGATCATCAATAGATCATTTACTAGCTCAAACACACATTATTCTAGCATTTCTACTCATTTCAAGCATAGAAACAAGACTTCACAGAGTCTAAAATAGTTTTGGGAGCCCATGGGGTTATACCTTTGTAGATTCCTCCTCTTGGCTGGGATTCCACCTTCTTCCCAATAGCTACACCCTCCTTCACCTCCTAAATATCTCAAACAAACCACACAACACTCTTACTACTAATGTTCTCAGAGATAGAGAGAATAGAAGGAAAGCTGGAAGGAAATGAAGGCTAAAACTTGAAGAAACTTACTGTGCTTTCTTCTTGTGATTGCAGAGCTCAAAGATGTGGGAAGAAAAGAGTGAAATCAGGAGAAAACATTGGCTTACTATTCCTTTTATATGGGTGCAAAACCCTAGGAAGATACTCAATGATTGGTGGAGGGTAAGGTGGTAATTTGGTGGTTGTTCTACAAGATCAGACGAGGGGTTTTGGAGTGGCGTGGTTCACCATGCTTCATGGACCATGGTCCAAAATCAGGATTTTAAAAATAGTTTGGGGTTGAAAAGGAATTTCCAAAAAATGATTTCTAAGTAGACACTTGATTTAGGCTTCTCAGATTTCTCCCGGTTTCACTTAGATTGAATTTTCTGTTCAAAACTTGGCACGCAATGTACTCGAGAATTTAGGATTTTTGTTTCAAATCATGTTTCGGTGTTGAATTTATTTTAAAAAAATGGCTCAAAATATTTTATTCTAACACCGAATCCAAGAGGACCGCTCGCTAGAAGAAGTGTCAATGATTCAAGAGACAAGCAGTAGTAGGTTACTTTCCTGCGCCGTCAGCTTAGTGAGCTGCAGGAAAGTGATGGACTAGTGATAGATACCCGAGTAGAGTACCCAGCTAGTGGTCGGTAGTCAACGAAGGAGTTGCAGGCAACAGTACCGACATCTTATGAGGAATAGTACCCCGAGAACTTCTCCAGATTTTGGGAGGGATTTCCTTTACCAATATTAAGAATGGGATCTTGTAAACTAGGAATCAAATCCAAATTAAAGTTAGTTTAGAAAGGTTTTTTAAGTCCAAATTTGTTAATATTTCCCTTTCGTTTTTTCAGTCACACGGCTATGTATAAATACCCCGGGGTCACACTGTAAATGGTTCGATTTTTTACCCTCTAGCAATAACACTGCTTCTGTGATATATATTGTTTTACGGTTGTGTTGACTTGCCGACCAGTTATCTTGTAGCCGTAAAACTAACAATGCAAATTGCAATCCTTAAGCATAATACACTTAAAAATATTAAGTATAGAAATTTGTTAAGAAATCTATAACAGATTGTTGATTAAGAAAAATTTCAGTCATTATTTCATTAATGTAAGTGACATTACACGCTTAATTGAATTGCAAGGTAATCGCTATACATTCGTTACATGAAAATGAATAAAGAAATGCAAATCATTCTCTCCACTTTATTGCATTGTACGCGCTCCCTTGATGACATGAAATAAAGAAAGTAAAATTAAGCAAATTAAAAGAATCTCTCCACCTTTTTGCATTGCACGCTCCCCTTAGCTTGATGACATGAAGAGAAAGATAAAGCAAATTAAAGAATCTCTTCATTGTTTGCATATATTGATCTGATAAGATCAGGCCACCTTTCAAATCCGGCCGGCTTTTAATAATATTCCAATTCCTTATAGGGCGGCGGGTTCAACCAGAACGTGATGAATTTTTAGCCCTCCTTTCCATTTCCCGGTCCAGACTTCGTACAAGCCGAACTGAAGCTGCAAGGCATTCCCAGAATCGACGACCAAATTTCCGGGTACATATATTTTCCGACCGGCAGGCATTGATGATAAACTGCACTTTCTCCAGATAACTTGGGATTTAGAACAGCCCTCCCTTTTGGCCATAAAATAGACTGGAGAGTTTCCCCACCCAAAAGCGTCCTGCGTCAGCGACACTTGGAACTGAACACTGTATCTCCTGTTGCGTTTCACTTCAACTGAACCAGTCACCTCTAGCCAGTTTACTTGTATTAGTTCTGCAGGGGGCATTTCCCCGTCGGCGTAGGATGGCTTGGTCTGCTTTATTGGCTTCCAGTAACGTCCATCGTTGCCCCAAACAATACTAAGAGCCCCCGGATATATTTTTGTTTTCTGCAAATTAAACAAGAAAATTACACAATGCTATGCCTCAACAACATACATGAACAAAAAAGGATAAAATTTATTAAAATTAAAGAGGGTGAAAAGCAAGAAAATATACCTGCAGATTTTTGTCGCAATAAAATAAATCAGGGTTTCCTTCAAAATGTGGATTAGAAGTCATAATGAACTGAAGCTAGCAATTAAGTTTAACCTCAAAAAACCTAAAACCAATTGCGTATATATATATTATCGGATCGGAGGAGCCTAAACAATGTTGAGTTCTTGTAATGACGAATAACATGCAGCTATATATAGAGAGAGAAAGTAGAAGAGAACATGCGAATAATAACAACGTCATATATGCTTTGATGATTTAAACCTCTATATCTTTACTACTTACAATGGTCGTCTGATATAAAAGGGAAGAATTTTTGTTAGGCGCCGGCAGACGTTTAACACGCATGCACGCGTTTGTTTATGCGCTCCAAGTATTAATACTATCACATTTTTTTAATATTGATTTCTTTATTTTGAGTTATATCTTTAGTAGTGTGATATGAATGTCAAATTGAGAATATTAACCAAATGCACCATTATTATTAGTTGTCTGATATGAATGTCAAATGAGAATATTAACCAAATGCACCATTATTATTAGTTATCTTATACATATTTATCTTGATTAACTTGTTATAAAGTTGACGGCAAATTATATGGTTGACTAGGGTCTAATTTGCATGGTAGACCCTGATCTAAAATAATGTCTTTTTATTTCAAATGTAATGAAGTGCATCAGATTTAATGATATCATTCTTTACTATGTTCATAATATTTATTTTATATGTCCATAAATACTAAATTAAATGTACATATATTTATTTTGATTAAGTTTATAGTAGGTTTTCCATAAAAACAAATTTAACGTACATAAACATTATATTACAGATGAATCATGTTTAATAACATTCATCATTTACTTTGTTCAATTACAAATTAAAGCTTAATGTACATAAATATATAAACGCCCGCATCATGTTTAATAATATTCATCTTGCACTATGGTCATAATATTTATTCTATATGTATATAATCCTAAACCTTAATGTTAATAAACACATACTTAACTAAATGTACATCATATGTATTTCCATTCAGTTTATAATAGGTTCATAATGTTCTTTCTATACGTTAAAAAAAATATAAAACACAAACATTAAACTAAAGTAATGACTTTATGTACCTGTATATTTAATTTTTTTTAAAGAAATTCTAAAAAAATAGTATATCAATATGAGTAACATTTAAGTTTTTTTTTTTTAATAATATATTCTTTTATGGATTAATGTTATATGTCCAAAAAAGAAAAAGACAAAAATTGTTGTAAATCAAAATGTAATCTCGTGTGAATCCTGAGAAATTGTACACTCAAACCAGAATAGAGAAGAAGAGAGAAGGAGAGGAGAAGGGCAAAATTGAACGTAGAACACCAGCAACCATTTTCATTAATAACTGTTTGTATATATACACAAGGGATAACGGTACACAAAGAACATAGAAGTAGGAGAGAGTGAGATAATGACCCCATATTAAAATAAATATTTATAACACTCCCCCTTTGCCATTATGTTACCATACTCATGCCTCATTAAATACCTCAGTGGGAAAAATATAGTTGAGAAAAAGAATACACAAAGTATGTGATATCATGTGTTGCACTAGTTGCCTCACTAAAAACCTTAGCTTAAGAAAACTCAATGGGAAAAACTTAGCTAAAGGAAAAAGAGTACAACCATAAATCAATTTTAAACCTTCAGGGCATAATCTGGAGGATTTTGGAGTATGTCTATTTAAATATTTATTTACAACTTTTCCCTTTTGGCATTACTATATCATACTCATGCCTCATTAAAAACCTCACTAGAAAAACCCAATGGGAAAAACATAGTGAGAAAAAGAGTACATGATATGTATTCATTCATGTGTTGCACTAGCTACCTCGCTAAAACACCTTTAATTAAGAAAATTATATCAAAACTCAATCAAAGGAAAGATATATAGTACATATGTCGGTCTTTAAAATCCAACCTTTAGGATTATTCAAGTCCAATCTTCAAGATTGATTCAAGTAAATGTCACTCCCCCTAAAGAAAACAACCTTCAAAATCTACACATTCTAAAATAATAAAAACATAGTTTCAAAAAGAGTGTAGGAAATGGATATGGTACAATCTTCAAGAATATTGTCACTATAGTGAACATTTTGTATAATAATCTCGTGCCTCTTCTAGAGATCACATGGGTTGAATTTTGACGCTATATATGCTTTGTCAAAACTTTCTTAACACACACATTTCTCATTTGTGCAACACAAGCTTTATTGTCCTCATATAAGATAATTTTTTTTGGGGGGGGGGGGGGGGGGGGGGAGGCGGAGGGGGGTTAAAACATAACATAACTAGTTTGGGACTTGCACCATGGGGATCAAATAATACAACAAGTACCCAAGTAGCCCATCAAAACCACATATTGGTTTCTTACATAAATGTCAAAATCTTTGTACCTCAGAAATACTAGAGAATATGTTAAACACCATTCCAATATCAGGCCTAGTGCGATTATGGAACTTCTAACCCGAAAGTAGTGCTCCAACGACAATGAAGTAATGGACTTTCGGTCTTAAGGTATCCTCATTACCCTCATTGAGTCTAAACGGTTGCTTATATACTTCAAGAGATTGGACAACTTTTAGCGTGACATGTAAATGATACTTATCCATATAAAACATCTTCAAGATGCTTTTCAATATAGGCTAACTGGTGTGTAACATTCCTTCAAGGAGATACTCGATCTACAGGCCGAGATAATACTTTGTTTCCCAAGTCTTTCATTCCAAACTTCGTCTTTAGGAATGAACTAATATCATCAAGCTCTATATGTGATTCACTAGTAGTTATGCATAGACTGAGATAATAAATAAGCAAATACATAACTCCATTACCAATTTTTTAATGAACACATAATGACACATATTGTTTACATATTTCTTCTTTAGGAGAAAAACACTCAATCAACTGTTGATTATTCCAAGACAACTAAAATCTTCATAATTCAACATTATCCATGTTGCGATTTTCTCTATTTTGAGAACTTTAAATCCTTCAAGGACTTTTCCAAATACATATTAGCCGCATATCAAAATTTGTTATTCACTGTCAATGATGTTAAGTAGCGGAACTTAATGTCATCCATTGTGGAAGAGTATACTTGATCAAGATCAAATATGGGTCTCTGCGTAAACCCTTGAACTACTAGTCTCGCTTTTACATCATACTACCTCATTATTTGTATTTCTCTTTCGTACAAACACTCACTTATAACCAACAAGGTTAACATTCAATGATATAATGTACATGTTATAAAGAGAATACATTCATTTTAGCAAGTTTAGCTATGTTTTAATTGCTGTTTTATATATATTAATTAGTGAGGAAGCTTCTAGCGCCTAGCTCTAAATCTAAATTATAATATGAGCAATTATATAGGCAATTGTGTTGTCGACAACTATAATATTTTATCATAAATTTCTCTCATATTCACAAATGTTCATGGAAATATCTAAGTCAACCAGAATCTACTCATTTCTCAAAGGTATTCGGATATGGTTGTTTCGCGTCTCTAGTATTATGATTATTTGGTTACCTATAAGTTTACTAGGGTTTCTCGCCTAATGAATGAACGTCTTCAGGTCATAATTCTTTATGAGATTTCAAGAGTGACAATGTTTACTTACTAGATTTAGCTTTCTACGGATTCTTATTTTCTACACCGATAGGTCTCTTACACTTTTGGTGTCAAGGAACATTGGTAGACAAAATAGGTCCAATTTGGGGAAGGTATATGGGATCAAGTTAGTCTGTTATGATTAGTATGATCAATAGATATGTTTGGCAAATTAATTAGTGTCTAATAGTTGCAAATTGATTATCTTATGAACTTCCAAAAATCAGTCTATCTAGTACGTGGATTTAAATAATGAAGATCTTTCCATTACACGGAGCTTCTCGACATTCCATTAAATTTGAGCTCATATCTCCCTCTAATATCGTGAACCGATCTTCATAAGTATGTAGTCAACATACACAATTATATATTGATCCCATATACGTTCAATTCTACCATGGACTAGGTGTATGCAATTAATCACATCATCTTGTCATTTTTGTGTATCTAAACTCAATAACTAGTTATCCACCAATAATAATTGACAATTAGGGTTTCGACTACTGTTGAACGGTCGTCGAACACCTTCATCACTAAAGATGGCGATTGTCAAATGCATTCTTCAGATGAAGAAAGCGAGCAGTAGGTTACCTTATTCTTTTGAGGGAGAAAAGCAACCATTGATCACCTTCTTCAGTGACGAAGATGACGGTTGGCCCCCGGGGCATAGCTCCGTTGGCAAGGACATGAGTGTGGTTGTTGAGGCCAGCAAAAATTCGGGTTCGAACCCTCCAAGGGGTAAGAACCTATGGTGAAAAAGCAACAATCGAAATTCCTTGTCGTTGAGGCACATCCTGCGATTTACATCCTCTCTTCGGACATAGGATAGGGAGTTGAGGGGGCCCCTGTGGTGTGGGGTGTACACCATTTTTGAAGGCGACGGTCGTTGAATGCCGGTTTGGGTTGTCGAATCCCAAATTACCGGTGGATAATGGGCTATTAGGCCCATATGTACAAAAATAACAAGTTGATGTGTTTAATTGTAACTTTTTAAAGTTAAAGGACCTAATTGTTGTTTCATATAAAGTATGAAGAAGGCTTGTGGAATATCAGAATCTATGGGCTCCTAAACAACTAGTGAAATATTTGGTTCCTCAGCAATTGATAGAATATCAAGAGTTAACGCCAATGTTAGAGGCTGTCTCAAAGGTGGATGTGGTGATGGCAATAGGACGAGAAATTTTATATCTATAGCACAACATTCATCAGAAATATTTTTCTTTTGATGTGTGTATTTGGCTGAAATTGAGCTTGCCACTGAGTTAAAGTATACTAAAACTTGGATTATTTGGCCATCATCCTTAGCTTTAATAAAAAATCTTTCATAGAAAAAACTTGATATAAATTAAAGTATACACATCTATCGGAACGATACTTGATGCATAGAACTAGTAAGGATTGATTATAGTTATTATTCATAATATTTTACCTTTGCTTTAGGGATGTTGGCTATGGTGAGTATGATGTAGATATGGTCTGGAGTTGGACATATGGTGATGACAGCTTGTTTAGG